TGAGATGGTTTGGCCATGTGAGACGGCGGGATGCTGACGCCCCTGTACGGAGATGCGAGAGGATTACAGTTATTGGGGGAAGTAGGGGAAGGGGTAGGCCTAGGAAGAATTGGAAGGAGGTGATTAGGCAGGATTTAGGACTTCTCGACCTGTCTGAGGATATGGCCCTAGATAGGAACCTTTGGAAAACTAGGATTAGAGTAGCTGGATAGGAGCTCGGTGTTGTAGAGGTAGTTTTGTACTGTGCTATATTTGTTTGGAATCTTCTGCTATTGTTTGTACCTGTTACTTGTACTTGTTGCTTGTACTTGGTGCTTTATCTGTGTTATACTGTGTTCCCTTCCATATTTTTATGCAGGTGGAGCCGGGGGTCTCTTGGAAACAGCCTCCCTACTTCCGAGTAGAGGCAAGGTCTGCGTACACACACCCTCCCCAGACCCTACTGTTGTGGGATTCACCTGGGTTGTTGTTGTTGTTGTTGTTGTTGTTGTAGTGTTAGATTATGAATTTCTTCATCTTGTTTATGCCTTTAGTTTATTTTCTTACTCTCTTATCTTTTATCAATCTCTTAGATTAAGTATGCTAGGCTAGATGTTCTAGCCTAGGTTAGGGATGGATTGTTAATTTGTGTTTATTGTCATTGGGTTGTCGTAGATTGTGAGATATTGCTCTAGGTTTGAAGAGATTGTGCCTTACTTAGACTTGGATGTTATTGTTGGCCACAATGGCATTCTTGTATTACGGAGTGGTTAGCATGAAATCTCTAACCCAGGCTAGCATTCCTTTTTCTACTTGCATCTCATTTTAGTTGTTCATTGCATTAGTTTAGTTTCATTCACTTGCATTTCATATCATTCATCTTCTCCTCTATTTAGCCTAAATTCACATATAACAATTTTATATTGGGGGTTGGTTACACTTTCCGCTCAATTCCTAACCAATTACGCAATCCCCGTGGATTCGACATCCCTTACCTCTACCACTACTCATTCCATTTACATTTTCCACATTTCCATTTCACTCCACCTCATCTCTTTTTGATCAAAGGTTTTCGGTATCAAACGACGTATCAAAAACTTCTCGCATCACGCCGCAGTTTCAGTACTCAATATATTGGATTTCTCATTGATTGGGGTTCTTAAATTCGTAGCATTATGATGGAATTTGTTTAATTCTCTTTGCAGGAGCTGAGTATGGAGAAAGATGGCACTCCAATGTGGAAGAAACCTCCAAAGAGCAACTGGGAAATAGTCTATTGTATGATCCTTTCATTACATTCATTGAAGCTTACATTCTTATTTTTGCCCTGCCATTTAATGTCTTATTTTCATTTTGGATATGATTTTTTTAGGAATGGAAGCCAATACTTGGCGACGACGATAACTGGAGCGGACAACTCTGGAGCCAAGCATCTGATGCAATGACTACAAGGCTCTATTCTCATAAAGATTTGGACATTTTGGTTTAAGTTCCTGTTTTATTTTTCTTTTAAAACTCACTAGTTCTCTAACCCGTGCGTTGCACGGACAGTATTTTGAGACAGTGAAAGAAAATAAAAAATAAATTTATATTGTATATAAAAACCACACAACGAAATTGTATTCAATATAAACATTAAAAGTATTATATACTAATATTGAGGAATGCATAGTCAAGACAAAAAATGAAATTAAAGCTTTTGAAAGACTTCCTTGTACACTATATTTCTAAATCAAGTGAAAATAAATAAAAAAAATTATCCAAAATAATCTCAACTTTACCTGGTCTTTCAAAAATAATCCCACCTTTTAGTGTGATGCATAATAATCCAAATTTTACTGAATTTTGTGAGTTTTGGGTCGCTGTTAAGTTTCTAACGGAGGGTTAACAGAAATCCTGTTTTGCGCAACAAAATGAAAGTTGAGATTTTTTTTTGATGAATTTTCATTTTTTTTTTTGAATTTTCATTTAAATTTTTAAAATTACTTTTTACCTCTATCATTTCTGTTTCCTTTTTTAAAGATTAGTCTTACTTTAAAAAAATAAAAAATAATAGATATAAAAAAATAAAAAAAACTGAGAAATGTAACTAAAATGATACAAAAATAATAAAATAAATAAGGTAATCAATAGAAACTAATTTGAAATTGGTAATAAATAAAATAAAAATATACATAGTGGTGGGTTTTAATATTTTACGCACTATACAAAGTATTAACGTATCACTTCTAATTTTTTTAGAAAAAATTATCTATAATAATTTCAACTTTACCGGTGGGCTTGTTCTTTTAAAAAATAAGTAGTACATTAAGACTCCGTATACTGAGTAAATGTTAAAACCCACCACTCCGTATATATTTATTTTATTTCTTACCAGTTTCAGTTTAATTTCTATTGATTACATTATTTATTTCATTAATTTTGTATGGTTTTAGTTATTTTTCTCATTTTCATTGTTTTTTATATCTATTTTTTATTTTTCTAAAGTAAGAATAATCTTTAAAAAAAAGAAATGGAGGTAGAAAGTAATTCTTAAAATTTAAATAAAAGTTTAGCAAATGGGAATGTAAAAATCGGTATCACATAAAAGTGGGAATATAATATCGCCACATCCTGCTCACATAAAGTATTTAAATAAATAGTATTTATTTAAAATTTCTATTGGGAAGAGTGTAATTTAAATAAATACTACTCCGTATTTTTTAAAATTTTATTCACTCAAATAGTATTCATTTAAAAAAAATTTCCCATAAAGTATTTATTTAAATTACACTCTTCTATAAAGTATTTATTAAAGTTATACTTTTCCATAAACTTTCACACTTTCCCATAAAGTATTTATTTAAGTTTCATTTTCCCATAAATTTCTACTCTTTCTCAAAAACTTTTACATTTTTCCATAAAGTAATAATATTTTGACATTGGAATACATGAAAAGAGTGGCCAAGTCATCAAATTTCATCTCCCAATATGTGTACCTCTTAAGTGCATTTAATATATTGTACTTTTGATTCGTGTATCAATAAGTCTCTGGGGATTTAAGGAGGTGGATTGAATGAGCACTTAGCATGTCAATTCTATTGCAGGTAGAGTAGAAAGCTTGGACATTTGTAATACGCCGTTGGGGTTAAAGAACAAATATGAGAAAAAAATTCTTCCATATACCGAAAAAAATTTCGGGACCTTTTTTCTTCTAACATCCTGCTCACATAGAGCAGTAGAAAGCATGTTTCAGGCATGAAAGACATACTGAGTATTATCACAATATCATCATAATGCATACTTGAAAGAGTAATCGAAAAAGAGCAACTACAAAATATCTAGAAAAGCTACAAAATTGAATTTTTCTGGACAATCAAATTTAGACTTCGGATAATATGGGTCAGGCCCGCTCATTAGCAAGTTCAATAGGTGCAACAGAACAGGGTCTCAAAAATATAGGGACCCACCCATTGAAAATTATTTTAGTGTTAGAAATTTATATTTATTTTGCATCTTAAAATCTTAAATGATTAATTTTATAGTTTAATTGTCTCTTAATGTTATAAATTAGTGTTTCTTCTTTAATTTTGCAAGACCAGTAGTTCCATTCTAACTTTGGTTTTAATCATTGATTTTTTTTCAGAAATAATAAAAGAGGTTGAAGGCTATAGCTCATCATTCATCAAAGATATCAATATTTGAAATTCCTCTCTTCATCCATTTTTGTCTACTGGAGTGTTGCACACTCTATTTGCTAATCCCAGGTTTTATTGTTTCTTCATATATTTAATTCTAATATGCCTCCTAAAATAAGAAAATATGAATTTGGGTATGCAAAATGTAAAAAGAAACAAAGGATTGAAGATATAAGTTGCACATGGCCATCTTAAATGATTGGGCGGCACTGTTATAGGTGCAAATATCCAACGAACCCATACTAATCATTTTAAGTCATCTCGTGAAGTATTTAAGATACCCACTCACAAATGTTGTTACTTACAAAAATCTTAAACTTAGACCTCCTTTACAGTCCGCTCCCATGTTGGGAATATATATTCCACTGCCGGATACCATTTTGAAGGCAGTCCCAAATTTTTGAAGGTTCCTGCAGGCTCTACCCCCTGTTTAAAGCCGAAATGCAAAAAACAAATTTTAAATCTTCTATACATAAGAACATCAATGTGAAGAATTGAATAAACTATGCAAATTTCACAGTGCATGGGCTATTTATGTCATCTTGTGCTTTTATCATTGGAACATTATATATGGTATTTAAAGATGAGTAAATGGAAAAGCAAATCTCCAAGATGCAGTTTTATGTCTAAAACATTGTGTTATATGCTTTTTTATGTGATCATTAAGTACGTGTACATTGGGATATAGAAAAAACCAAAGTATAATGCCTAGTGCAGTGCACTTCTTAGAATACAGAATAATATCCTACATCTTCTCTTATGGTCTGTTGGATGAAGATTTTGGAGGGCCAAGCCAATATCATTACACCGTTATACAACTGAAAGAATAACGTAATAGGTGGTCATAACATTTCAGTCACCCTTAACTCAGTTTTAGTAACATTCTACTCCGGTATTTATCAAGATAGAGACTAACCATCCAAAGTCTTCTCCTCCTAATACGTCAATGCCAGTGATGAGAGGAAGACAAAAAATGAACCTTACAGAAGAAATAGTGGTGGCAGTGCGATAAGATCTGGCAATTAAAGACATATTCATCAGCATCTTTAGATGATGAATCACCTGCATCAAAGTAGAAACTAATTTAGATTATTTACTATTCTTTTTGGCTTGGTACTTTCAATTTGTCAATCACTTTCTGGGTTGGATTCTTAAAAATACATTCACAATAGTTTTACCTAACTTGGACAGCATTATACTAATATATGTTAGCATATTAGGATATACCATGAAGAAGTCTCGTAGTTGTCATCGGTGTAGGTGTTGGTCTGCCAAAATTGGAGGATAGCTTATGTCTCCAAGATATTTCAAACTACTTGTATTAAAGTAGCCACAAACTAAATCCAAAAATAAAAAACCAACAAATGTTAGGATCCAAAACAGTTGCTAAGAATCCAAATACAAACACTACAAAGTAGATTTAGGACACATGCAGAAGAAAAAACATCTAACAATTAAGGGTAAAGAAATACAACAAAGAAAGCTAAATATTTTAGCTGAAATGCACTTAAGACAGAGCAAATCTTACCAGAGCAAATCAAAAGCTCCCCTCCCCTGTCAATATAGCATCTAGATTAGTATAAAAGTTTGAATATCATCATCCCTTCTTCAGAAGTAATTCATGAACATATATTGAGCAAGCTCAAACAGCCTAGATATTGGCTAGCACATCCCCTTGCAAAGAAGCAACAAAATACTTAAGAATGCAATGGATTGAATTGGAAACCAATCAACAGCTGGTACGTATTCCCTATGAGAAAAATAGTATACCCACGGTTCTCGATATCCAGATTTAAGAAGAGTAAATAAAAATTTTAATTCAAGAAAAAAATTGCAGCAAGAAAATAAGCTCCCCCCTTATCTTACCTTGTTTTGTTCGAAGACACATTGTCCATGGTTGCCACAATCCATCTAGCCCAGGTCGAAACCCTATGTGCTTTGATGTTCTTGGGTGGAAAATCTAAATTAAAATTCAAATTGAAGCTGTGTACATACCCGACTTGCAATAACCTTCTTCGTAGCAAGATCCAATTGTTTCAAAACCCTAGCCCAAGCATAGTTTCCGGCGAGCAGTGACCACAGATGCTTTGGCAACTATAAAATAAACACTTGAGATGCTTACAGAGTACAGATCACATATTTGAGATGCTTACAGTGTACGCGATTGAAGCCTCGCTTATTCCGTCTAGGTTGGGAGAAGAGATATCGTTTTTAACAGATCGAGAAAGACGGCGAAAAACCAAAGAATAGTAGCGACCGGCGAGCTTCTCCAATAAGCTCCCATTAATTGAGACCACGTTTTTTTCACTATAGCTTTGGGCGGGAAAATGACACTGTTCATTTTATCCCTTTAGCTTTGTATATAGACTAAACTTGTACCCGTGCGTTGCACGGCCAAAAAAATGAAGTTATAAATTTATATAAAAGTGTTAATACCACATATAAAAAAATTTATTGAAGTAAAAATAATATTCACTAACTGTTGTGCATTGCAAAAAATATAATCCCTCTATCCCATAAAACCTTTCTCATTTTTTTCATCCATCCCACAAAACACTTTTCATTTCTATTAAAAAGCCACTTATATCCTTTACTTTTTCATACCCTACCTATCACATCATAACTTTTTACTAATAATATATCCATCAAATCATACTTTTATCTATCACATCAAAGGACATTTTTAGAAATTTAATACCAAAATACACTACCTTTAAATCACTCTTAAAAAGCAAAATTTTCATGTTTCACGGGACGGAAGGAGTATAAATGAAGGAAATATTATATAGAATAATTTATTAGATATAGAGATGCATAAAAGTATAATCTTGATTATTCCTACCCCTAGACACCCCCGGTAAACCCCCACCCCATCCCAGCCCAAACCGACCCCCCATCCACCCCTCCAATACATTATAGATGGTTTATAAGTTTCCTACTCTATAGAAAAAACTTCAAAAAAATCTCAATCAAATTCTGACAAATGCAAAATCAAAGAGAAGTATATTTAAAGAGAATTTCAAATGAAATTCATGTCCAAAGTATGTGCAAGTGATTGATTGATATCAATCCTTCCAAATTAATAATAGAAGATAAGAAAAAAGGAACAATCGTATGAAACCATATATGAAAAGAATTCCATGGTATCTATTTACACATAAACTAAACAGGCAAGAAACCATATAACCAAAAGTACTTGTTTTGTTTAGCCAAGATTGATCTTGTTGTAGTCTATCCCACATCGGAACTTGTGAAAATAAATCGGTATATAAGCTCTTGAGTTGAACTAAATAATTGATTGGATTCAATCTTTTAATGCGGTTCAACCCAAGTGTCTTATTACCCAATCCAATTATCTCTACCCATTCTCAAATTCTATCAGATCTGGAGAAATAGAAGTATATTTGTTTCTGGTGATGCAAGTTGTTTAACCATAACCCATCTCCCCCCCATTCACAATTATCATCCCTTGTAAATTGTTAGCTGAAGGATCTGAGCAGGATACATGTCTTCTTCCAGCTGCAAACTACTGAAATGTTACCAAGTTACATTACGATGACTGTTTTTTAATTTAAAAATAGCTATTTTCTGCATTGTACACATTAAATGGCTTTTCCTTTTCTTTCTTCCTTGGAATGAGAACTCAAATCCGGACTAAATGGAGTGGATATAGCAGCACACATAGGCTTATTGCCAATTTGATACACACTACAGCTCAATAAATCATTATGGCAAAAATGTTTTTCAAACTATTCTTTACTTAAGATTAGCTAAAAAGCCTATAATGAAAAGTTCCAGCCTATGACAATATGTAAAGGGAGAATATTTTGAACATGAAAATGCTAAAAAAATAATATCTTTTTAATTAGTACCACAGATGAAGTACCTTTTTATATAATGTCTAAATGAAACAGTTCTGAAAAAATCAGCGGAGAAAACACTCTTTTCATCTCTTTTAGTTGTTAACCTGAAACCTCAAATAAGAAAAATCAGCAAAACCAACAGTAACAATAGGCTGCATAAAATAAATAGTATAACTCAGAGTTAGATTATAGCATAAATTTAAACTCAACTTTCTAGACAACCCAAATCATCAGCAAATCTGAGAGATGAGAAAAGCTTTGGAAAGTTCAGCTGCTCAAACAACACAAATTCTTTGAGACGATGAGATTAGCTGCACATGCAATTCCAGACTATGACCATGCAGTGCATCTGTGCAGATTCAAATGTCTCAATAGATAGCAAATTCTTAGATCAAATGAGTATAAGTATGTCATGAGTATTATTTATATTGATTCGGTGGAAATAACATGCCTAAAATTCTTTTTCTTTTGCAAATCAGCAGATACTCTTACTTTCTCTTCAACACTTCTATGGACTTCATTAAGCAATCCATTCCTGCACGTCACCAGGTCAGAGCAAAGGTGAGCAATCATTTACTCGATCATCTTCGGTAGAATTCTCATTGGGTGACCCACTCAACTCTAAATAAGGACTATAATATGGAAGCTACCAACAACATGAACGCTTTATTATAATTAATAATAATATTAATAATAATAATAATAATAATAAATAATAATAATAATAATAATAATAACAACAACAACAATAATTAGTCCAACTGATTGAAAACGAAAGTACCTAAAATGGAGTAATTTCCCCTGTGGTATCAGCTACTCAACATAAAGAATGGAAGAATAAAAAAAGAGAAGTTGGAGATTGTTGGCTTATGCTAAAACATTTTAATCATGCACCCCTAAAGATATGAAGTTGAGAGGTGACGGTGGGATAGACAGTGTGTGGATGCCATGAAAAATGAAGCTAATTATCCATGCAGAAAAAAAGCATACTAAGTAAGCCCACCTATAAGACTTGAAGAGAGCTTATGCTAATTCTATGTAAAATGTTGCACCTCATTATCTTCCGCCATGAGAAGATCACAAATACAGAGTATTGCCATGGTGAAAGAAAGTGAAACTCAACTCTCAAACAATGACATATAATCATTATCCATGAGAAGATCAAAAGTCATATCATAAGTTTTATCTCAATACGATGTACTATTTGTGTTGAAAATTAGTAAAAAACCAAACACTTAATCATACAAAAAAGACTTATTTAAGATTTACTTTTCTCACTCTTTGTGTCCTCTATATGTTGAAAAAGACAATATACGATACTTTTATTTCTATGGAAAAGAAAATGAACAAAAAATCTAAAAGAATCATCAATTGAGGATCTCATATATATGATAACAAAGTAGTCTCAAACATATAAAAAGTGTGAATTCACGAATATATTCTTTATCCCAAATTGCAAAGTCCATGTAGAAAAAGTCCAAGTTCAGGTTGTTCTTCATCAATATTTGATGACATTTAGAGCTGTCATCTTGACATCTTAAAAAAACCTTGATGCTTAGAATTAACATTAACAGATCCAATATCGTGTATCCATGAACATTAAAATCTCTTCTGAATATGTGAAATGTTTAGCATACTCAGTAATAGGATTGCAAGTACCCCTCATATAGCCCGTGTTGTTTCTTAAGAAACCAATATTTTTAGTGACTTCAATCTCAAAATCTCTAAACTCAATAATAGGATTGCCAGTATTGTACCATCCCTTAACTTTTTCTCAATCAATTTTACGAAACCACAAAAAAATGATTCATAACATAAACTGAGAGCTCTGATATATATTACCTTCAAATTTTCTACTTGTATCAATGAACAATATACCTCTAGATTTGGAGCCTTAGGGTGTCTCTCACCCCAAAATGCATCCATGGTCGTTGCTCCTCCGTCGCCTCTGCCTGATGTTATGCCGTCAGTGCACCCCTTGCAAAGTAGACTCTGTTTGAATCCCAAATCAAGCACCAACAAAGATTAAATTCCACAGTGATTGAATCCAAAAAGGCATCAAGAACAAAACCCTAGATTAAACGTTTACACTTTGCTAATTGGAGTTAGATGGATAATGGTAAAACTATTACGGTCGGAACTTCAAAATTAGAAAGAAACAAAACATTCAATTAGCAGCGTGGCTACCTACTTGTGGCGGTATGCTCTTTCTCTCTCTCTCTCGCTGCGGCGTTGTGCTGAAGCTAATTGGACAATGATCTACGACCTCCAACTTGAAAAGTGAGACAGTGCACGACTTATCGCTTGCTAGAGAGAAGCATCCTTGCAAGAATAGGTGTTACCCACTCACATATAGGGCCAAATATTTGGCTAAAAATGCTACAAAAAAAATTGTAGGAGAAGATTATAAAACCAAGTGGATAGAATATGGAATACATATAGGCAAATAAAAAAGTTCCATAACATTAAACTATGAAAAGTACAGATGCAATCATCAAACCCTAAAACATAAGACAATAGGTTAGAGATTCATACATGGTTTTTCTCTGTAATGCAATCTTTTTTGGCATATCACAAAATGTAGCATAAGACAATGAAGAAAAGGAGCTCCTTATCGACCACATAGCCTCTCTGTTTTAGTCTCACTTGTCCCATATAATGTCCTCGTCATGGTCGTCTTCCACCATCGCTAAACCTAGAGTTTTAAAATTTGGAAACCCCAAGCACCAAAAATTTCATAAGCATTCTCTGTTTACAATTAAATACCCAAATTTTAGGCGGCCCCCATTTCAAGCTGAAAATAAATTTTCAAATATAAGTAACTATGTTAAGAAATTCCATAATAAAATAAGTAAACTATATTTACTCACTTTAGAATGCAATCTAAAACAAAAGTTTCATCGTCCATCGCGAAGTTCTAAAGATCTTATAAATAAACAAACTAATTGAATAGAAAGAAAGTGTTACCTATTCTCTGAATGCAACATTTATTTTGTGTTGTCCCACCCATCTTCTATGAGGGAAGATAGGATTGAAATTCTAGCCTAGCCCTGTTGTCTTCACCTCTGCCAATAGCCGCACCATCATTAGACAAAATTAAAACTCAACGGGGCATGGTAAGGACCTGCTTCAACAAAAGGAAAGGCTAGCGCAAGAATCCTAGACCTTGTGTATGTTCTTGTTATTCGGTTGTAAATGTTAAAACAAAACCTTATTTTGTCTGGTTCAAAATAGGAGTTGCTTAAAATAAACAAAAGAGAGATCTAGAAGAATCTTACGGTTGATTCAAGCGAATGACAAACAAAGAGAGCACAGCTCACATAGGGCCTTTCTTTGGGCATCGTCCCTTACGCTACGTTAAAGCAACGGGCAACAAAGAGGATGAAATGAGAGTTGAAAAATCCCAATTTCGAGAACTGAAATTGGAATTTAAAAAGAGACATAGATTCAATAGATGATAATAAATAAACAAACATATTAAGGATGAGAAATTGAAAACGTACTTGCGGCAGATGGTCGGAACATCAAAGCATGCTCGATAATTCCACCATGAAGCCTCAACACCAGATGCAAAGTAGACTGTTTGAATCCCAAATAAAGCACCAACAAAGAAGAAATTGCACAGCGATTGAATCCAAAAAGGCATAAAGAACAAAACCCTAGATTAAACCTTTTACCTTTTTGGATGTTGTAGTCGGCAAGGGTCAGGCCGTCTTCAAGCTGCTTCCCGGTGAAGACCTGCTGATCCGGTGGAAGATCTGCTTCCCAGCGAAGATCTGCTAAGCCGACGGAAGATCTGAGTCGGCAAAGGTCCATTTTACTTTTTGGATGTACTTCTTTATTATATTTTCTTTCTTCAAAAGAAACTGAATGCGGTCCAAAGCGTCATCCGTACACTAAGAATAGTATGCGGGAAGATGAAGAGTATGCGGGAAGATTGATCGGAATGTGCGGTCCAAAGTCATTCGGGTACTGTAGCTTAACAAATGGGCGGGAACACTATTCACAAACTTGTTGGAAAATTAAGACACACAACACACACAAATAATCTGCGAGAAACGAGAGAAACGGAACACAAACGACACACAAGAATTTAACGTGGTTCGGTTTCCCTAATCCACGGCTGCAACAGGAGGATTTTCTTATTTCACTTGTGGTGCCTCAATTACAAATACAAGCCCTCTATATATAGGGGAAAAACTAGGGCTACGCACAACTGGGCCGGGCCGACAAACAAGCCTCCACAAAGCCCAACATTCTCCCACTTGGAGGCTTGATAATCATCAACTGCCATCCGCCACGATCGCTTGTATATCGAGTAATCTTCCTCAGCTCTCCTATTGCAGCGGCCCTATCATCAGACAACTGAAAGGCCCGTTGAAGCTCTCCCAAGCTCCAACACATCAGTCACGACAAAATCTGCCCCTGACTCGTCCTCGATCCCTACCGGCTCCCACTGCAAACGCACACTGCCGGATCCTGGAACATCATGAGAACAAACACTCTCCATACTCAGCAAGAAATTTTCTGGAGATGTTCCAACAGCTGGAATACTGGTTCTCGTGACCCACTGTCTTCTAGGCAACTTGGCTGAAGCGCCTATTGAGCTCCCACTGCCACAAATACCTCTGACTGGCCCCCTTGAACCTTTCCATGCTCGTTCATCCTGAGTCTGACCTGTGGCTCTAGGTTTCTCTCTTGCATAGACAACCTTCTTCTGCCAACGAGACTCTGTGAACCGGACTTTGTCTCTCTTCTGAACTGGGACGGTCACTCCCTCAGATGGTAACTCGACCATATACAACGAACCACTCTTCGTTCCACGGGCCATGACAAGATTTCCTTTCACGACCTTCCACTGCCCATCTCTGAACTTCACCTCATGTCCTTGTTCGTCCAACAGCCTGACAGAAATCAAACTTTTCTTCAAGGCTGGAACCACTCTGACATCCTTCAAAGTCCAAAGACCGACTGAGGTCTTCAACACCATGTCACCCATGCCCGTCACCTCAAGAGCTTTGTCGTCCGCTAGTCGTACCTTTCCAAATTCCCCAACAACTAGATTCTGCAATGCTTCACTGCTGTGGGTAGCATGAAATGAAGCACTAGAATCCATGACCTAGGAATCCACATTGCTTTCCTCACAGCAAGTCAGAGCGACCTCCTCGTCACTCGCAGAGCCTTGAGCAATGTTTACTTTCTTATCATTCGGACATTGATACCTAAAATGCCCTACCTCCTTGCACTTCCAGCACGTTACACCTGAGCTATCACGAGTCTTCGACTGACTCCTTTGTCTGTTCCTGCTCCCACTACCTCTACTATTTCTTCTGCCTCTACCAACATGAAGCAATTCACCAGATGACTCCCCTGAACTCTTTCTTCTGACGTCCTCGCCAAGAATGAGATCTCGAATCTGATCAAAGGTGAATCCATCAGGCCCCACTGAACCGGTAACCGCTGTAACCGTTCCGGACCAACTATTAGGCAAAGACGATAGCAGTAGCAAAGCTTGAACTTCATCATCGAACTTAATGCCAACTGACGCAAGTCTGGTTAAGATCGAATTCAGCTTGTTGATATGCTCGGTAACTGAAGTGCCTTCTCTCATCCTTGTATTCACCAGCTCTCTAATCAAAAAAACTTTGTTAGTGCAGATGGCTTCTCGTACATATTAGACAGCGCTTCCATAATTCCCTTCGCTTACTTCTCCTTCAGAATGTTGAACGCAACATTCTTCGTCAACGAGAGACGGATCACGGACATTGCTTTCCAATCCAAACCTGCCCAATCTGCATCCGACATCTTTTCTGGCTTGTCACCCAAAGCCGCGTCCAAATCTTTCTGAACCAGCAAATCTTCAATTTGCATCTTCCACCAACTGAAATCTGTACCATCAAACTTCTCAATTCGGAACTTCCCGTCTTCTGCCATATCACACGACTAGACGAGATACCCGGTACAACTAATTTCAGATCTTGGTAATTTCGTCAGAAAATTAGGCCCACCACACCAATTAAATTAGCCAAAACAAATCAGCCCAATGTCCACCCACAAGATAATACGGCCCAAATCAATCCAAAATTGAGCCCAAGAAAAAAATGTCTGACCAATTAAATGGCCCACTGATTTTTTTTCAACGGGGTTTTGTTCTGTGCGCTAGGGCAACAGTCGGCAACAACAACACGATCGCGGCGGCACAAAGTCTGGACGGCAGACAATCTGGACGATGGTGGCTACTCGGCGAGCGGTCGGATGACACCTGCTCGCGGACGGCAGTTGACGACTGGACGGAGGGCGGCAGTACCTTCCCCGCTGCTGCGCGATTCTAACTCCACGGTCCTCTGCGCGCGGCCAGCGGCGGCGGCTCGGACGGCGATGGCGACCTACTAGACGGCGACGGCTCTGTCGCTGGGTCGGCGGCGCTCTCGATCAGAAACGGAGGCAGCTCCGATATGGCGATGCGGCTCCTCCACGCGGTGGCGGCGGCTCCTTCTGCCGCTGCTCCTGCGTGCGGCGGTCTATACGCAAACGACGGCGGAAATCTGGGAGCTCGACGGCGGCAGCACGCAGCGGAGACGTCAGCGATCTTCCTCGCTGCGGTTCAAGACCCAGCGGCGATCTCGACGGCGACTGGGTCAGCGGCGATCTCGACGGCGACTGGGTCAGCGGCGATTCACAGCGGCTTCCCTTATGCTCCCTCTGCCCTCCGGCGACTGCGCACAGATCCCAAAAACCCTAGGTGACAAATTGCAATTTGTGTTCGTGTTCAACAATCTAGCTCTGATACCACTTGTTGGGAAATTAAGACACACAACAGACACAAATAATCTGCGAGAAACGAGAGAAACGGAACACAAACGACACACAAGAATTTAACTTGGTTCGGTTTCCCTAATCCACGGCTGCAACAGGAGGATTTTCTTATTTCACTTGTGGTGTCTCAATTACAAATACAAGCCCTCTATATATAGGGGAAAAACTAGGGCTACGCACAACTGGGCCGGGCCGACAAACAAGCCTCCACAAAGCCCAACAAAACTCCTCCTACCATTGTATATAAGAGGATAGATAATTGTGTTCTTTAAACTTCTTTTTTCTATAGTATTCTATAGGATGAAGCTTTGCCTTTTTAGCATGTGCTTCATCTACGTTTAACAAGATATTTTATTTACAATAGCTAATGATGTTTGATGATGTTGGAATTCGAATATGTGGTCAGGGAGGGAATCAAGTTGTAATGGATTCTGATTTTGCTATGGGACAATTTCACTTCCTAAAAAGATGTCTTTTGGTTTTGGTACATGGGGATTGAATATATCATCAAATTGGTTACATGGTTCTTTTTAACATCTATCATATTGCGGTTTTTGTGTTTATGTTTTTCCTAGCATATTCTTTTTCTGTATATGAGCTTTTTCATTAACTTTTTACTTTTTGCGTTATGCGTCTTCTACAAATCAACATTGGAGTACTGATGGTGCCTTGGAGATTTTTCTTTCCTTAGTTCAAATTGTGGTCACATGCAGGGGTTCATTCATTTGAAAGGCTTTATATTCTTATGTTGTTGGACTTCATGAACTGGAAGCAAGGTTATGACGCAAGGTTAATTTAATTATTATCTAATGTTACGTATTGAATTTAAACTTATCCGAATTAATTAATTTAATTATTAACTATTGACTGAGACATTCCAGCATGCTAAAAATTAAACTTTGTAGAAGAATATTTCGAGTAAAAAATAATTTTGATTTTGACTATTTGATTCCAGAAATATAATTGATTTTTAATCTCTTTCTCTGTAAATGATAAATTCACCGTAATGATATACACTTCTCCATTCACTGAGATAATAATGATCAAAGTATTGCATTGTAGACTGTACAAATTAACTGAGAAGAAATATATAGGATAGAGGGAGTACAAATATGCAATGCCAAAATACAAATTTCATTTTTTTAAGATACATTGAAAAATAAAGAGTAAATTCTATAATTGGTCCTTTATAACATGGGAGTTTCCATATTTAGTCCTCTATTATCAAATATTACCCCTGTAGTCCTTTTTTTAAGGGTACGTTTTCACAAATGGTCCTTTTTTTGATCTTATGCCGTGTTGGTGTTAATTTAAAGGCTAAAAGTATAATTTGACGTCAAATTATGTCTAGTGACGTGTTCTGATATTGGTTAAGCGGATAACACAAAAATAATGATTATGATTGTAGGCTAGGATTCTGACGAAAGATCACATTTGTAGACTATAGTTGTCGTAAAAAGCGACTGTAATTCACAAACGACGCAAACAGAACAGCCTTTGGAATTGTGTATGACAAAAAAGATATATTATCATTGTGAAATTACACTTTTAGCCCTCAAATTAACATCAACATGATAGAAGATAAAAAAAGGACTATTTGTGGAAAGGTACCCATAAAAGAAGGACCACTTGAGTAATATTTGATAATAGAGGACTAAATAGGAGACCCCCATGTTATAAAGGACCAATTATAAAATTTACTCAAAAATAAATAACTATAAATGCAAGTTATGTCTATAAAAATTAATTTTTTAATTTGTCTAAAAAATTATACTCTTTCTGTCCCATAATTATCTTTACTTAATGAAAAAGGTAGTAAAATTTTGAATTTTTTAAGTCTTTTTATTTAAAGATTGAAATATAAATAAAAAGTAAAAATTACATATTTAAAATGTACATCAAAAGTTCTGCAAATTAAGTGGTGATAACATTACTTTATTTTAGTAAATAATTAAAAGTTATCGTAATTTTGAAATAGTGCAAGAAAAAATAATTTGGAGACAAAGAGACTCATAAAGAGTTAATATGAGATGGAAGGTGATAACTCGGGTTTGGTTTGGTACTTTTTATTCAATTTTAGGCATTTTTAATATTTTTAGAGTTTAATTTTTAGTTGTTTAGCTTAGTTTTATTTTAATTATCATTTTTACAATCTTTTAATTATCTTTCAAAAAAATAGTAGATTTTAATCACTTTTTACATTGTACTCCGTATTATTTTTATTTTTATTTTCCTAACCCAAGTTATCAGATATTTTATTTTTTAGAGAAAAATGTAACAAAAAGGCAAAAATGCAGTTCAAGTTTGGAAAGAAAAGAAAGATTTTGGGCCGCAACCCAAACCCAACAATAAAAGAGACCAGACCAGCCCAGCATACTCTTTCTTCTCCAATCTCACGCACAACAGGGAAAAGAAAAAAAAGAGAGAGGTCACCACGGAGACTTCTTCTTCGCGTAAAAGCAGCGCCCGGTTACGCTCCAACGTTCGGCTCCATTAATTTTGTGACAATCAATTGCCAACGGGAAAAATTCAACGGCAAGTAGTTCTCCTTGGACTATAAATTGAAGACAAATTGCAACATTGAGAGGGGGGAATTCACACAGAGAATAAAGCAGCGGCTTGGCCGCTGCTATGGTGGTCGCCGGCGATGGTGGCAGGCGGCGCAGCGAACGGCCGGCAGACGCGCAGCAGCTCCAGCTCCGGTGGGCAGCCTCCATCACAGCTCTAGTTTACTCAATTTGTTCATCTTCTTCAACAATGGGTAACCTTTATTTGTCAATTTTATCTTTTCTTCCCCAATTCTATGTAAAAGTTTGTTTTTTATTCAATTTTATATTTTTTGTTTGTTGTGTTTGTTCCAAATATTCCAAAAATGGTTGGTGTTCTTTATGGGTTTTTTTATGTTTATATTAAATCCCTTATGAATGAGAATTGATTCAAACTAGTTTTTCTTCAATTATTGAGCAAATTGTTGTTAAATTGGTTGAATTGTATAATTTGATTTCATAAGTAGGTTGTTATGTAGAATTCGGTTTTTGTTGAAGTTATTTTAGCTCCATAAGATAGTTAAATGAACTCCGAATTCATACGTGTTTCTTTGTTGTGGCTTGTGTTCGTTGATTTTAAGGAATTTGGACTTCTTAGCCCCATAAGTTGATTCATTTTCCTTAGAATTCGTTATAAAGTGATTTTGTTATGTTATGTGTTTGTTTTCCATTTTCATTAAGTCGAGGTTGTTTAAGCTCAAAAAGAATCTCAATTTATTGAAAATATGTTGTGTTCAATTATGTGAATAGAAAAAACGTCATTGGTTTGAGAAGTTCATGGAAATCTGTGAAATGTGATCATCATTAGGAGAAAAAGTTTGTTAAAATACATAAGATATTGGCGGTTTGTGAATAGATTATGTATGAGAGTTGAATGCATTATAGATTCTCTCTTTTATAAACTTTTTCTATAATGGAAGTATGTTTTCATGCTTGAATAGAGAGTTGAGGTTCTAAGGTATATTTCAAAACGAGCCTTTGAATTGCATGACTCCGGGCCGTGTGGAGAGTTGACAATCCTCCATATCGTGTTTAAGGAAATGAATCGACTCGGCCTTTGATTGATTTTTCTATTCTTAAGTGCTTTAAGTTACGTAATATATTGTGTACGTGCCTGTTATACGTGTAATGTTCGACTTCTGTTTGTTCTCTTTTTCATTTTGTTTCGGGTTCTTGGCGGTGTTTCTTGGGTTACCTTAGTTGGAGAAGTTGATTGTCTTTTGAACTTGTTTTCCCCCATTTTTATTCAAAAAAACCAAAAAAATAAAAAATACATAAAAACCAAAAATATTTACTTTTCATTCAATCCCCCCTTTGTGTTATATAAGTATAAGTTTTATTTAATAAGTGTATAATATAAGTACTTGTTTATACGTTATAAATATAAGTTCTTTATAGTTTATACTATATTTTTAGTATGTGTTTTATGTTTATAGTTATATTATATTATAGTTCTTCGTTTATAAGTTAAATTTATAAGTTTTTATATTTATTTAGTTATAAGTTTTATTATAAGTTTTATACGTCTTATCATATATGTAGTAGTTAGTCTGTTTTGTTTAATGACAATGTGTGTGCATGCTTAAATGATTTCAAAAGTACAAACTTTCTCCGTGGGATCGACCCTTACTTGCCCTAGCTATAGTTTTTATTTGATTCTATTTTGGGGGTTAGCTAAAATTATTTATAAATTTTTAATTTGTTTCAGACCGCACGACAAGTCCTCAACAGAAGGAATATATTTTATGCTTATGGGAGAATAGGGTCATAATAGATATGTGTGTGGGAAGGCCCGTAGACTTGTTTTATCCGGCCCGAATCCCACCATTTGAACGATCTGGGCCTATTAAATATCAAGTATATATATTATCGAGGATGACATGTTGTGGGCTACTGTTTGATGATAAGCAAATTGGGCCGGGAGCAAGATTAATGCTCCACAGCCCGAAGAACCGCGTCCTGAACAGTCCTTCGGACCTACTGCTATGAGATGTTTCGTGGACGCTAGGCTGGACTGTTCCCATTGGAGGGCTGCATGCATCTCATTCGGTTGTGTTTTGTTTGATCCTGGAGGAGTCTAATTGGCAGCAGCAAAAAATGGTAAAAAGAGCGGAAGTCAAGACCATGTAAAGAGGCTTTGTCGTGGCTCAAGAACGAGGGTGCTCGAGATGTGAAAGTCTTCTCCGATTGTGGTGGTTTCATTATCTATTAGTGGCATTATTATGACATCTTTTGTCTCAAAGAGTTTGGTGGGCACTGGATGAATGCCATGGTGTTGGTTGCAAGTGTGGTTGTCAAGTAAAAATTGCATCAGTTTGATTCATGAAACTCGAGGCTTTTATTTTATATTGTAGCTTGTTAATTTTCTTGTCAAGTAAACATTGCAAGTAGTCTAGCTAAGACAGTGCCTGTTTGTTAATTTGCTATAAGACACTACGGCAAAAGCAATCACTTGCCTCAATCTCATCAGGTCACTTAGAAGGGGTTTTGGCCTTTGGGTCATGGGCAATGCCAGAGGTTTGTCCCTGCTCACTTCTTTGGCCATGTTTTTGTATTGATTGCAAAAAAGCTTCCTAATTTGACTTGGAGTCAAAATAAGGAAGTGTTAAATTATAGTTGACTTCCAATTTTGCTCCTGATGTGATGAGTAACAGTAAGATGTGATTGATATATTATTAGAAAAAAAGTATGATGTGATAGGTAAGGTATGAAAAAATAAGGGTAAAAGTAGATTTTTAATAGAAAGTTGAAGTGTTTTATTAGAAGTGAAAAAAATGAAATAAAGAAGTATTTTCGAGAACGGAGGGATTATATAATTTTTTTTTAAAATTTAAAGTGTATACTTTTTAAATAGTAATACACGGGATGCATCAAGTATGATGAGTTTTATACGATTACCACCGACTCCTTGGTCTTAATTTATTCTATTCATTTGCTTTTTACATAAATAAGAAAAATTAAATTATTTGATTAATAATTATGGAGAGAAGAGAGAATTAATACAGACCATTTATTATTATCTTTAATTTATTTTGACATAAATAAAAAATAGGAAGATTAATTTGAGACGAAGTTTTTTTAAAGGACGAGTTCTATTGACACCATCGCTAGTTAGCACTATAAAGCCTTTGGATTTTTGGATACAAGCATACAGTGTCTTGTTTACAAAATTAATATTCCATCTGTCTCAAAATGTAAGCAACAGTTACTATTTTGGTCTCTCAAAAACTTTTGTTTGTTTACTCATTTTGGAATTGGTTGACCATTTGATAAAATAAATATTAATGTCACATCTTGTTTTGTAGAACTTTTGATGTATTTTTGAACGATGTAATTTTTACATTTTATTTCTCTATCAATTTATAAATAAAATAATTTTAAAAGAAATGATATTTTACACGTTCAAAACGTGGCATGTACTCGTAATTTGGAACGATGTGAGTAGTTTCAATCTTCTACTCCGAGTAAACCCTTCTCCAACCCGAAACGAACCAACGCCCTAAAGGGTTTATTGAGGACAAAAGAGTAGAAAGAAACAATTTTCTGAATTAAAGCAATATAACTACTCAATTAGAGCTCATTTTGATTCAATCGTTGATAATGATTGTAAATAGAACCTACTCAATTGTATGAGGATCCCCAAATCTGAATTTCAATAACCCAAGCTCTTAAATTCTTGTATTCGCAACAAGTGAAATTGTAAGCACATAACTCAAATCAGAAAGTCTGGTGTTGAAATTTGATAATATACATACAAGATTTTTAGGAAAAACATGATGTATACACCCAAAGAAGATAACTCTATAAGAAATTAATCTTTCACTCATCTAAAGAGTAATCACTCATAAATTAGAAAATTAAACAAGCATCATACTCATGGTTGCATGTTTTTCAAAGCTTTCTTTGAGGGATGATGTGTAATACAGAATATTAATCTTTATTTCATATCAAAAGATATCATAATACCCAATAAAAGATTCGACATGCATAGATGCAAATATTGTCTACTTGAAGTGGAAACATACTTTGATTACAAAGAATGCTATCATCACCTTTTTCCAGCACCCCATACATTTCTGATTCTGCAATAAAGCAGACAACCACCACGGCGTCTGTGGGCGTGGTAGAGGCCGCAGCGATATACAGTGCCGCCAAACATGTCTTGCTCTCTTCCTTCCATGTGCCCCCCTTCAGCTAACTCTTCGCCATCCGTAAGCCCACCCTTAGCTGACTCTCCACCATCTGTGGGCCCACCCTTAACTGACTCATCGATATGCGCTCAAGAAACATAAACTTCCTCCGAGTTCTCTTCACCATTAGAAGAACTATTCCCAAGACATCTTTGGGAGTGCATATTCAATGTCATGACATCTAGTTGAGCTCCGAATGGCTTATTCTCGTTTGCTATAAAAAAAATGCCAACAATTGCGCACAAGAGACACCCATACTACTACACCACCACACGACATTACTACGCGTGAGTATAACAATGCCAACAATTGTGCACAAGACAGATATTTCTATCATTCTATTATTCGTGGGACTAAAGAAGTTGGCCCCATGTCAACTGAAAAAAGTTGGGTCCAAGTCAAGTATATTCCATGAGATTTAAGCTAGGCTTTGAATGTGTCTTGGGATAACATGCTCTAGTGATGGATGATTCTGTTCGCATGGTACTTGATGAAGAAACTTGGTTGAGATCATTGAGTTCCTATGACATTGAAACTGCACCTCGAACGTCTCGATACGAGTTTCTTTTACAGATCACTAGAAGAAGAAGCCATTATGAGTTCAACCAGCTGTCATGACATTGAAGTTGCACTCCAGAGGTGTCTTCGGATAGAAAATTCTTTATACATAGCACCTGCTGAAGAAGCCAATTCGAGCACAACCCGCTGTCACGACATTAAAGATGCACTTCAAAGGTGTCTTAGGATTATTTCTCTTAGCGGTGGAGTGAACTCGAAGGAAGATTATTTTTATAAAGTGCCTATCAATGTCAATGAGTTCAGTTGATGGTCGGCCCATGGATGGTGGAGAGGTAGCTCAGGGTCGGCCCATGGATGATGGAGACTCAGCTGGAAGTGGGCACACGTAAGGAAGAGAGTCAGATGTTGTTGGCGGTATTGTATTCCATCGCGGCATCCACCACGGCCGCACACACCGTGGTGGTTGTCTGCTTTATTGCATAATAGGAAATGTATGGCGTGTTAGAATAGGAGGATGATAGCATTCCTTATAATCAAAGTATGTTTTCCACCACTTTTTTCCCATTCATATTTATATGGATGGGGTGCTGCTTTATTCTGCGCTGGCAGTATTTGTGTTTGTCAGGGTGAAACTTTCCTTTGTCCCGGTAAAAATCTTTTCTCTTTTGCCTCCTTTGAACTTTTCTTTGGGGCGGTTGAACCTTCCTCCATAGCGTTTGAACTTTCCTTCGGGGTGATTGAACTTTCCGCCACAGCGGTTGAACATTCCTTCTCTGTGAAAATAGACATGTCCAACTCAGTCACCTCCACCGTTGGGCAGATCTACTCTCTGCCACCGCCAGGGTAGATCTGAAAAACTATAAAAAAAAATATGTGTTCTCATCAAAATCTTTCTTGAGATCAGGAAGTCCGTATATTTGAAATGCATTGTGGCAGTGAGAATTAGGGCCACAGCACCTCATCTTATATAGGTCTATCAGTAAGAAGAAAGAAACAACTGAAAACACAAAGGAGATGAGGATGTTAGCCATCAACTGGAGTGTGGTTTTGAAGGGGCGAATACGCTTACAAACAAAATGATGCCAAATTTTTTGATTTTTTTTTTTTTTGAGAAATAGGGGATGATCTAAAAACCTCACCGGTGCAGATCCATTTCAAATGTAAAATCACTTTTTACGACTCAATCTACTTCATATGCATCGTTCAAGTCAAAGTATTAATTTAACTTGAGAAGCAGATAATTTTAATTGGGATGGAGGGAGTACTAAATTAATTGGCCAATGCATTATAAATGAGAATGGAGTCTTTCTCCAAATAAAAATGTGGAAAATATTTTCTAAGAAAAAATGATTTTCAAGAAAAATTATTTTTCAATCATATTTTTTATTGTTTGGTAGGAAGGATAATATTTTTTAAAAATTAATTTCTATTATTTATATTCAAAAAAAATAATATTAAAAAATATTATGAGATAATTTAACATTCTAGTAATATTTTATTAGCATAGGAGACAATGCATGGTGGATGGGTAAGACTGACGAGTGAAGGGAGACAATGGAGGGGATAGGGGCTAGAGTGGGAGAGTATGATGACATGGCAGAGAGAAAATGAAAATTTTACTTCAAATTCAAACACAAATTATTTTATCAATATATCTAATCACAAAAAAAATCAAAAGTTTCCTCGAAAATGTTTTGACCACAAAAGGCAACCTATGTCTTTAAAATTCCTCCACCAAACCAACCGCACTAGAGTTGATTAGTTTCAAAGCTAGCTCATCATTTCGTTTGTCAAAGTCATTAGTCATTACTCATGAGTCATGACCATCGGTCCATTAGTCCCATTATTTATAGAAAGCTTTTGGCTAATTGTATGATAGGTTTCAATTCATCGAAATATATAAAATATTGAATATCATTTATATACTCTCTTCATCCAAAAATGATATTTTTAGTCATTATTTATATGGTTAGATTTTTTAATCATTTTTATCTCTTTTCTTTAGTGATTTGATAAAATAATATAGTCATGTCACCTCTTGTTTTGTAAAATTTATGATATAATTTTCGAATATATAATTTTTTTTAATTTTACAAATGTAATCAAATAAATTGAATTGAAAATAATTTCAGTCAAACCTCATAAACGGAACTGGGAAGATCATTTTAAGACACTATGCAAATTCTTAGGTGGACCTAAGGTCTACCATGGACTTACATATGAATAAAATAAGCAATTCATACTGCTTAAATAAGCATCCTTTTTTAATAACAAAAAAAATAGATTTTTTATGTGAGAATGCTCACAATTCTTATGTGGCATTTTCTTGACAACTCTTGTTTTGTAAAACTTTTGACGTCCTTTTTCAATATGGAAGATTTCTAAATAAAATGATTTCAAAAAATGAAAAATTTTTCTTCGTTAATTCCAATTTGTGATCAAATTTGGGATGAGGGAGTAATAATAATAATAATAATAATAATAATAATAATAATAATAATAATAATAATTGTTGTTGTTGTTGTTAATATTATTATTATAACAACAACAACAATAATAATAATATGATGGTGATGATCATAGGTGAAAATAACGAGTATTTTTTAGCGATATATGCAATGAGAATGAGGTTTATAATTACTAATTGAGGGTAATTTGTAAAATACATCAGCCTCATAATCATTGGTGGAGCTACAAGCACTATAAAGAAGAGGGTGAATAGTATAGAGAGGGTATATAATGTAGATATGGTATTGCTCCACTTCATACATGAAGCCACCTTTATTTATACTAGAATATGAACATTAGGGTTAGAGTTTCTCTAATGGGCTTCTATTGTGGATCAGCCCAACTCCATTTTTTCACTGATTGAATCTCCATCATTGTATCTTACATTTTGAAGAGTATATAAATGTTTAAAATAAGACCGAGGAACAAACAAGTAACAAACTATACACGTCACGAAAAATTAAACTTTTTAAAGAAAGTGGGTGAAATTTAAATAAAACATTTTAAAGAAACACGTAAGGTTGTAACAATTTTAAGAATATTCAAATACAAATTAGAGTAAATGACAGTTTACCCAATGTTCAAATATTATACATATTTTCAAAGTTTGAATATATTAATTTTATGATTTGATTTTACTAGACAATTAATGGTTTATAGTCCCTAGATAATGTTTTATGATTTAAATTTAAAATTATCTATTATTTTTTATTATCTATTATATATATATATATATATATATATATATATATATATATATATATATATATATATAATTTCTATTTAGAATAATAGAATTTCTAATTTTTAATATTATTTATTAAATTAATGAGTATAATAATTGGATTTTAAATAATTTTTCAAACTATTTTTTTGAATCATAGTACTGATAACCGAATATTTTGTTATTTGAATTAGGCAGGAAAAGAAGAATCATACAAATATTTTGCTTCATTCATGCCTTCGCGATCCCAATGTTGGGAAAGCAAGAACACAAATGAATGCGTAGTGCCCAAGATCAACACCTTTCCCTCTTGAATGAATCTGTGAGGAGCAACAAACAAACACACCAAAGAACACCAAACAACAAGATAACCCAAGCACGGAAAAATAAAGCGATATGAGGCATGAGATTTTAACGTGGAAAACCCTTTCAATGTGAAAGAGTAAAAAAACCACGAGACCCTTCGGTCCAACCAACTCCACTACCACCAAATTGAGAGTACAAATGCACAATATAACAGCACCACAATGATATCTAGCCCTTAACAACACTACGAAGGCACTAGAATCAAAATAGAGGAACAAAAGTGTAACAAATCACCAAAAACTGCAGCTGGTGCGAAGCTCATAACTTGAGATTGAACCGTTTAAATTCGATCTCCACCGTTCAGATTGAAGCTCCACGAGTCCTTAGACTCCTCCAAAAATTTCAGCTCGATCGGACAAGATTTGGACCTCCGATCGACCAAAAAACCAGGTCTGCGTTTTGAAGAAAATGGCAGCAGATTCCTCTCTCTTGCGGCTGTTTTTCTCCTTTTTTTATGCGTGAGTGGTGTGTAATATGTGCAGCTGCCAAACTTTTACTCTCAATATATGTGGACACAAATGTATTGAGGACTTATCCTCCAAAAATATTTGGGCCTTTTAGTTAAAGATGACACATAGTTGGGAGCCCAAACCCAACAAATCTCCCCCCTCCCGACTATGTGGAGGTGGTTGCCAAACCGGAAATTAAACAACAAGTTTCAAACTTCCCCTTTGGCAAGGCCTTCGTCATCATATCAGAACCATTATCATCTGTGTGAATCTTTTCAAACTCCAATAACTTGAGATCAAGCACATCTCGAATCCAATGATAACGTACATCAATATGTTTCGATTTGCCATGGAAAGTAGGATTTTTGCTAAGATGTATAGCACTCTGACTGTCACAATATAAGACATACCTCTTCTGAATAACGCCAAGTTCACGAAGATATTTCTTCATCCAAAGCAGCTCTTTACAAGCTTCTGTAGCTGCAATGAACTCGGCCTCTGTTGTGGACAACGCAACACATTTCTGAAGCTTAGATTGCCATGAAACAGCTCCCCCTGCAATGGTAACCAAATAACCAGATGTAGGCTTCCTGGTATCAATATCTCCAGCCATATCAGAATCTGT